CTAGAAATGAACATGAATAAACTTGGAACAAGTTTTATGAAGTGGAAGATTGCCATGCTGAACAGAATCAGCCAAGGATGCTGCTCTATAAGGACTTGATAAATTGCCTATTTCACTGCCTGCCTATGGACTGTACTTCCCATATGAATATTAAATGCCTAGCAAACAATAACACACAAGTACAAGTACTCCAGGACCTAGTGACTATTCTAAGTTAGAAATGCTTTGAAAAGAAAAGATTTATGACTATTTTTCACAACCATTGTAGCATTCCCGTGGCCCCATGATCAAAATTCAGACTTTTGGCAACTGGCTCATGTTTATGGCGGTTGCAGTGTCCCAGGGTCATGTTGATCCCCTTTTGCAACCTTCTAACAAGCAAAATCAATGGGGAAGCCAGATTCATACATGTTACTAACTTAACAACGACAGTGATTCACTTAACAACTGTGACAAGAAAGGTCATAAAATGGGGTAAAACTCACTGAACAATTGTCTTGCTGAGCAACAAAATCTGAGGCTCCATTATGGTCATAAGTCAAGGACTACTTGTAGTGACTTGCATGAAAGGCTGAAAAAGCAAGTTTGAGAAACACTGAATTAGCGCCTACTAGGAAGTGTTCTTCTCCCAAAAATAGTGTATTATGAGAATTCAAAACAACACTTTCCCCTTCAGGCTGTTATACCAGTTCTTTCCTGGCCACATCCCTCGTGGCTAGCAAATTGTGGGAAATGAAGAACCTGGCATGGCATTGGTCTTTGGAGACAGCTTCAGAGTTTTCTGAAAACTACCCTATCCCTACCTCTGCCTTAGGACAAACATTTAAGCAGAGGTATGGAACAGCTATACAACTCCCAAACCATGCCATATTTGTTTCTTCCAAGGTTTGCTCCAGTCTGTGCTTTGCTGTTTGTTTAAATGTTTTTATTTTCAATGTTTTGCTGATAGAGCATTTAATTTTTTAAAAAAAATACTAGGGGCAAAGAAGATTATGATTAGACTAATCAGGGGGATCATTATTTCCAGATGCATCAACTAACTACAGTGAATATTTATTCCTCTTCTAAGCAAAGAGTAAACAGGATTGCATTCTCTTCTCTCCTGCCTGACCATTATCTACCAGTCAAAATACAATTTGGATACCCCAAGACAAATGGCCTAAAGCCGTTTCTTGTATTCCTTCAACTTAAGTTGAAGACTTAAGTTAAAAAACAGGGAAATGATAAGAGTAATACGATTGGAAACTCATAATTTATTTGATTTAAAATCCGTCAGGCCTCCAAACCAAGAATGACATGTAGTGATTCTTCCAAACTAAGTTCCTTATTATTCCTCACTTATGGACAGAATCTTGCCACTCTACTATCTGCATCTACTACCTACTGTGGGAACTATTAGGGAGGGACTGTCCTCACCCTCTTCTGACCTGAGCAAGATTCTTATTTTTAGAGCCCATTATGGCCATATCCCTGCCTAGCATCTTCTTTTAGATTAAAGCCAGGATCAAGATAACCCTCCCCCCAATTGATGGGCACGCCATTGCTTCAAATAAATTCAGCATAAAACATTGGTCTCTCACACAGCCCAAAAAAATGCCCAGCCTTTAATCGTCCCAACTCCTCCATGTCCTGGTGCTCCTGTCTCATGATCATAACTCTGCTTGCCATGTTTCAGGAATCATCTTGTTCCAAATAGGGAGATAGCAGAAGACAAGGAGGAGGGGGAGGAAAGCTGCCAGGCATCCCTCCAAGTCTTTTATTCCTCCATCTCCTAGCAACAGTATCCGTTGCCATGGAAAGTGCCGTATGCCCCATCCCAATCAGTACATGGGGAGCAGCTAGGGTATCATTCCAGAGCATTGGCTCTTGGCACATGTTCAGAATGTAAACAGAGATGACTTGGGGTCAGGAAGAACAGCTGGGAAATCAGCAAACCATAGACATTCATGCACACCATATTGTACACCCAGCTCTCATTCCTGAGCAAGAGACTGCCAACTGCAGAGGGAACGCAGAGGTAGGAATGGCACTGTCCAATATTCAGTGGCTACAAAATGCATGGTGTACTATCTGAAAGTCAAGTCTCTAACCTTTCGGATGAGGGAGCAAATAATGTGACTTCCGAAGTCCAGGGGTGGAGAAGCCTTTTCCAGAATCAACATCTTCACTCCTACTAGTATTAAGCATACCAGTATGCACTTAAGGCCAGAAGTAATGACATTTTATTTTTATTTATTTCGAAATATTTATACGGGTAGTCCTCGGCTTGCAACCACAATGGAGATCAGATTTTCTGTTGTGAAGCAAGGCAGTGGTTAAGTGGGTCACACCAATTGTACGACCTGCTTTCCCATGGTCATTAACTGGATCATGGTAATTATTAAGTGAATGATGTAGTCTTTAAATGGATCTAGCCAACTAGGATGGTTATAAATGGTGATCCATTGACCACAGGAGGCTGCCACCATCATAAATACATGCTGGCTGCCCAGCAATCAAATTTTGGTCACATGACTGTGGGGAAAGCTATCTCAGTTGTAAGTGCGAGTTACTGGTTGAAAGATACATTTCCCAGTGCCATTGTAACTTTTAACAGTCCCTAAATGAATAGTTGTAAGTTGAGAACTATTTCCACCAGGCAGTACAGAAGAGTGCCATATGCAATAAAAATCACGGTTTGCCACAAAAATGGACCATATTTTTCTAGTTAGGTACCACATGAAGCATATTTTTGTGGGAAAGTTTATAATGAGCCATGTGGATAGAATCAGGAATGTTGGGGGGGGTTCCACTGGTTTCAGGTGAACTCTTTGCTCTTCCCTTCATTGTGCTTAATCCACAGAGATCTTCGCTTAGAAAGTTTTTGTTTTACAAGCATATTTGGCAGTGATATTCAATTACCCCTGGTGGTTGAGGGGAGGATCTCAGAGCCATTTAAAAAACAAAACAAAAAAGGATTAGATTTCTGGACCCACAACTGAGGTTGTGTATTGTTGAGCCCTGTCCTGTTATAGGTTTGGCTGATAGGAAAACAAGGAAGATATAACCAAAATGGGGTAACTTCTCCAACCTGTACGGAAGAACATAAATTCCAAGACTTACAAATCTTTGGCTTGTTAATAGATATCACTAGTACTCAGCTTACAACCACAATCGGGACCAGATTTCCAATGCTGAATAAGGCAGCTATTAAGTGACTTGTGCCTGATTCTACAATCTTTTTTTTGCCACAGTTAAGCAAATCACTGCAGTTCTTAAGTCAGGGGTCCTCAAACTTGGCCACTTTAAGGCTTGTGAACTTCAACTCCCAGAATTCCCCAGCCAGCATGGGGAAGTCCACAAGTCTTAAAGTGGCCACATTTGAGGACCCCTGTCTTAAGTGAACCATGTGGTCATTAAACAAATTCACTTCCCCCATAATCTCTGCTTCTTGAAAGCCGGCTGGCAAGATCACAACTCACATGACCCTTGGACACGGCAACCATTGTAAATACATGCTGGTTGCAAGTGCCCAAATTCTGATTATGTGACCATGGGGATGCTGTAATGGTTGTAAACGCAAGAAATGGTTGTAAATCATTTTTCAGTGTTGTTGTAACTTCAAGCGTGTGCTAAATGAATGGTTGTAAATCTGCTACCTGTGTGCCTATTTATTTTAACTCTGCATAACTTGTCTTTCAGGATATCCTCCCCAAATGACTTGCAAACAATGCACATGCTTCCCCCAAAAGTACAATATTGGGGATACACAGCGCTAATGCTCTGGTCCGTGGATGAAGTATAATAAAATGCTATTTGTAAAGGAATAAATGAGTGGGCCTTAGTGGGGCTAAAGCTGTTCTTTGGGAAGAGGAAGATTTTTTTTTCTTAGTTAGCTTACCTCCTGCTAAGACTAATCCCTTTCAAAGTGACCCTTGTTCTCTAGTCTAGAATATACAAGCACAGTGGGGCAGGGAATATGGGCAAAAGAGCAGAGAAATTTGTGTCTGCAAATGGAGAGACTGAAGTCCCAAGACTTATGCAACGTGTCTTGCATAAAGTATAAAGGTCTTACAATTGTGAACCCTGAAGCTGTCAACACTCTTGTAGTCAACTGGGAACTGCCAGTTGCTTTTCCAAGTCAGGCACAGAAGGAACCGAAACTTACACACTCCACCAACATCCGTTTTGATGGCGTGCATTTATTGGGGGCGGCATCCCCGTTCCGTTTTCTACGGAAGGAGAGAGTTTTCGAGGAGACCAGGGAGGCTGACGATCACAGCCACCGTTTTGCTGAGCAAAAACCGGAGAACGAGAGGCGAGCAGCAGCCCCCCCCCCCCGAAGTCGCTTCGCCTTTGCTCCCCTCGCTGCCAAGAGCTCGGTCCTCCACGCTGGTGGAGTTTATAAGTTTCGCTCCTTCTCTGTGCCTGGCTTGGAAAAGCAACCGGCAGTTCCGAATTGACTTCAAGAGTGATGGCAAGCTTTAGGGTGCACAATCGTAGGACTTCGACGCTTTATGCGAGGCACCCTGATGGCCCATGTTGGGACTTGGGTCTCTCCCTTCGCAAGCACGAGCCGAGGCTCCTCAAAGGGCGGCAGGCGAGGCACACTACGCATCTTTGGAGGTAGGGACCCCATGGTTCCCCAAAACACGCGCACCAATCTAAGTGCACGCGTTTACTCTACACCAGGGATAGGCAACCTTGGCTCTTTTATGACTCGTGGACTTCAACTCCCAGAATTCCTGAGCCAGCCATGCTGAGGGGAAAGGGAGAAGTTTCCAAGCTGAGCCATGCTGGCTCAGGAATTCTGGGAGTTGAAGTCCACGAGTCATAAAAGAGCCCGCTCCTGCTCTACACATACCTAACTCCGCCTCGGTTTTTGCAGCTCTGCTGAATTTCAATTCCCATCCTCCCTACTCGGCAAAGGACGATGGAAGTCCAACCGAACTCTCAACCACCAGCCCGTGACGCTCCAACTCCTCAACGCGGACCCTTCCATGGCCATCTCCGCGGGATACCTTGGACTACGATGGCTTCGCATCTGCCCGGCGGAGCCTGGTCCAGACTCGGCATCTGCGTCTTGCCCGGCATCGCGGCGCTACCCCTGAAGAAGCCACCCAGCGTCCACGTGTGACCCTGTCATCACTTCGCAGCGCCAGCGTGCTGCGCGGGCCAACTGGGGTGGGCGAGGAGGAGGGGAGGGCGTGACGTAGGGTCTTGGGGGCGGGGCTGTTGGCCTTTGCAGGGCGGGAGGGGGAGAGGCCAGGAATAGGAAAGCTTGCGCAGTGTTGGCATCCAGGTGGCATTCCGACGCACGTATAACTCCCCCGTGGTTCCGCTTCCCCCACGCGGCTCCTTGTAAACCTGCGTAAGACTGGGGGTACGCCTAGTTTCTTGGCTACCGGCAAAGCTTCCCTTGCTCCACTTCAGGCAAGGAGAGGCTTCCGGTTGCAAGCCTATATGGGTCACCTCAGCATTAAGCCCCAGTTAATTTAGAGGAATTTTTGCAGGATCCAATCTGGGTCGGTCACTGGGACCTAAGGTTTAGTCTTCCGAACTTTCGGACTCTTAACGGAATGTGTCACAAATTCACACGTTCTGGTGAGAGAGAAGTTCCCTGAGGATGGGATCCAGCACGAGTCCGAAAGCTCGGAAGACTAATAAACCTCTGATCCCGGTGACCGATCCAGATTGGATCCTGCAACATTATCCCGGGACACGTATATTGATTTGCCTTCATTCGTGCCGTCAGAGGAGTTTTTCTCCCCAGTGAAATCAAGGTCTGTGTCCTTTTGTCAGGGGTGAAATAGTGAGGATGGGGAAAAGCCTATTCTACTCATCAGGCATAAGACTTCTTGCGGCTGAAGTCCAGTTAGAACAGTGTTTCTCAACTTTAGCCAATTTAAGATGTGTGGACTTCGGCTCCCAGAATTCCTCAGCCAGCTCAACTGATTGGGGAATTCTGGGCATTGAAGTCAAGGCATCTTAAAGTTGTCAACTAAAAAATATTGCTGTTCCCCCATCTGCCCTCTAGGAAAAATCCTTGCAACTGAAGGTCATCAATTTGAGGCCAGTTCTTCAATCAGAAGATTCCTTTTCAGAGTTCTTTAGATCTTAGATCTTTTAAGAAGAAATCTGTTCTTCACTAGAACTTGAATTTCCATTCTGACTGCAGGAGGGATGGGGTGGGGTAAAAGAAGAGGCCTAATCTAAACTAAGAGAAAACCCTTACCCCAGGAGAGTAGGTCTCTAATTTTGCAGATCACATGATTCAGTAAGGAATCATCCATTTTAAATTACTTTTAGGTTTTGTGTAAGCTTGGAACTTGTTTTGTGTTTTCCCTTTCCCTTTCTCATATTTTCTCAAGGATCCTTGATATCCCATAGTTCAGGGCTCCCCAACTCCCAGAATTCTGGGAGTTGAAGTCCACAGGTCTTAAAGTTGCCAAGGTTGGGGAGCCCTGCTGTAGTTCATTGATGGAACTCCTGGAGTCAATTGTTTTCCAACGTTTCTCAAATTCAACAAAATAAAATCAACAAAAGCTGGTGCAGAACCCACTAAAAGAGCTATTGTACCAATGCTCTCTTCAGTTAGTCCTTCTTCCCGGTTACCTGGGTTGGCTGAATTTGTCCAATATGGTAGACCAGATGAAACTGGTTTTCGTAGCTTATGGTTTAATGTGCTATGGAGACCAAGCCAGGGTCTTAGCATGTGTAAACCAGGCAATGAGACTCAAACCCTAATATGGTTGCTTCCTCATAGTATGTTAAGCAAAGAGAGCAGTTGTACTCTCTTAATCCAGATTTAGGGTTTTGAATGCTCTGAGATACACATGCTGAGGATATGTCAGGTGAACTAATCTCTGGCTCTCAATCTAATCTTGAATGACATTCATCCTCATTTCTCTACCACTTAGCAGACTTTCCAAAGGGATTGCTTCCCATTTCTCACAAAGGATTTTTTCTTTTGCCAATGGCTCTCTTGGTAGAAGACCTTGGCCTGCCCTGGCCTTACCCAAGGCTGATTTGAACAATGCATCACCAGCAAGCACTGCCATAATGGTAATCCTGAAGGAAATGCAACCCAGGAGGAAAGATGCCCAGTCTGAGTTTTGCAAATAAAATTAAGGGAGTGGAGGCTGACTCTTGGAACACAAGATTTAGACATAAGGATGAGGTTTGCAAATCATCATAACTTAACCATGATTTGTGGAACAAGCCACAGTAGGGTTATTAGAATGCAATAGATCAACATTGACCATACCAATGTTTTTTTAACTTGATAACTTTAGGATGAGCTGGCTGTGTAATTCTGGTAGTTGAAGTCCACCCAACCTAAATTTGCCAGCTGGAAAAACATTGCATTACACCAGTCCCAAACCAGACAAACTGCTTTATGTATAGAGTAACAAGTAATATGAGAATCCAGAATGGAATCTGCTAAGAAAGCCTTTGGGCACTATCTAACAAAATGAAATTCAATGATGAAAAAAATAAGGTTGTATATTTAGGCAAGAAAAATACACAGGTATAGTATAGGTCAGTGATGGCGAACCTTTCAGAGACTGAGTGCCCAACTGCAACCCAAAAACCACTTATTTATTGCCGGGTGGGCATGGCCCACTGGGTGGACATGGCTGCCGTGGTCACGGCAGACTGGGTGGGCGTGGCCACCTCAATGTTGCTCGTGGGGACGCCTGTGGGGGCTGGGCATGGTTGGGGGAGATCCAGGGGGTCTCTGGCAGGTGAGGCAGGGGGCAGGGTGGGGGTGCCATTGCCGCGGGGCAAGGCAAGGCAAGGCAGGGGCTGCCTTGACACCATTGGCCCCCGCACACAGAGGCCAGTGACTGCAAGGGGGCTGACAGTGTCCATCAGCAGCCACAGCCTGCCGGCCCCTCGACTGGCGCACTCTGGGGCTCCACAGCCCGCTGCAAATACCAGCCAGCCCTCCAGCAACAGGCAGAGATGTATGATGAAGAAAGAAGGTCAGAAAAGAAATGGTTTGGGAAGCGAGGGCATCTGGGCAGTGGTGAGTGGGGCAATCTCTCCAGCTTCACAGCGGCAGAGGTGCTCCATCTGCTACTTCAAGTGGCTGTGTGGGCAGAGCTGCGAAGAGGGCTCAGAAGCAGAGTGAAAGGGAATAGGGTGGGAAGGCAGGTAAGGGGGGATTTGCCGAAGTCATCCTGAGGAGAAGACAAAAAGCAGCCCCACCTTGCCCACCTCTAGCCCCCTAAGAGCTGGATGGCTGGCTGACAGCTGAGGAGGCGATGCAGTGGGTTGTGCCCAGGAAAAGGAGAGCATGCAAGGCCAGGAGGGATGGAACGGGGAAGAGGGAAACCAACTATGCCGGGATGCATCTAGCCACGTGGGACCTTGGTGACTTCACGGGCAGTTGGTTGAAGAGAGGGACAGTTGTGGTTCTGCCTGCTTTATTACAAGGCAGGCTGGGCAGGAGGCAGCGGCGGTGGTGATCCCTGCATCGCCAGGCCCGGCTGGCAACAGCTCTGGAAGCGAAGCTCTGCTGCCCATCCTTGCACTGGTGGTGGCGGTGGTGGGTGAAGGCAGGCTCTGGCGTGCACACACCCCTCACAGCTGCTGCTCCACATCATCTTGCATGTGCCCCCAGCCCCTTGCCGCCGTCTCCATCTGATTGTGTGGATTACAACAAATTGTGGCAAGTTCTTAAAGAGATGGGAATACCAGACCATCTCATTTGTCTCTTGAGAAACCTATATGCGGGTCAAGAAGCAACAGTGAGAACTGGACACGGAACCACTGATTGGTTCAAAATTGGAAAAGGAGTCTGGCAAGGCTGTATACTGTCGTCCTGCCTATTTAACTTATATGCAGAGCACATCATGAGAAAGGCAGGGCTAGATGAAACAAAAGTTGGAATTAAGATTGCCGGGAGAAATATCAACAATCTAAGATATGCAGATGATACCGCTCTAATGGCAGAAAGTGAAGAGGAACTAAAGAGCCTCTTGATGCGGGTGAAGAAGGAGAGTGCAAAAGTTGGCTTGAAACTCAACATTAAGAAAACCAAAATCATGGCATCCGGCCTCTCAATTCCTGGCAAATAGATGGGGAAGAAATGGAGGTAGTGACAGATTATATTTTTCTGGGCTCAAAGATCACCTCAGATGGGGACTGCAGCCAAGAAATTAAAAGTCGCTTGCTCCTGGGGAGGAAAGCTATGGCAAATCTAGACAGCATTCTAAAAAGCAGAGACATCACCCTGCCAACAAAAGTGCGTATAGTCCAGGCCATGGTTTTCCCAGTTGCAATGTATGGCTGTGAAAGTTGGACCATAAGAAAGGCTGAGCGCCAAAGAATTGAGGCCTTTGAACTATGGTGCTGGAGAAGACTCCTGTGAGTCTCTTGGACTGCAAGGTGTTCAAACTGGTCAGTCCTAGAAGAGATCAACCCCGACTGCTCTTTAGAAGGCCAGATCCTGAAGTTGAAACTCAAATACTTTGGCCACCTAATGAGAAGGAAGGACTCACTGGAGAAGGGCCTAATGCTGGGAAATATTGAGGGCAATAGAAGAAGGGGACCAACCTATTTTCATGTTTGGTGGACTTGTAAAAATATTAAAGCCTTCTGGATTATGATTTGGTGGAACATTCAAAAGGTTTTTAAAAGGAAGATTAAGTTTACTCCCCAGTTGTTTCTTTTGGGTATTTTTGTGGATTTTGATGCTAAAGAAACTATTTTAATGTTGAATTTAATAACAGCAGCAAGATTATTGGTGGGTCAATATTGGAAGAAGGATACTCAGCCTTCTTTAGAAGAATGGGTATTTAAGGTTTCTAATTTAGCAGAAATGGCCAAAATTTCTGCTTATTTAAAGGACCATTCACAAGAGAGATATTTTAATGTATGGAGAAGATGGATAGAATATGTTCAGAAGAAGTGTGGAACTACAAAGTTTCACTTATTTTATGAGTAATGAATTTGTTTATAAATTTATGATGTTAAAGTTTGAAGAGAGTTAAGGGTTAGTATAATTTTGATTATTGTATAATTAGTAAACTTAAATAGATTATGTTTAATATGTTTGTATAACCCTGTACTTGGCTCTGGGAAGTCAGGGGGTGGGAGGGGGGTGGGGGGGAGGATGGGTTGAAGTTTAAGTAGTTCAGATAAGTAGAAATAGTTTTATTGTATATAATA